AGAGCAATTCTTGACTACCATATTTTATTATTTAAGTATTTTAGTTTATTATTTGGTATTATATAATTAAAATTTTATGAAAATAATAATTTTATATAATTAGAATTTTAGTAAAATAAAAATTTCACTATCTGTATATTAGAAATTTTATAAATACCCTAAATATAATAACATAAAGGGTGAGAAATAAAATTATTATTTTTTTTCCAAAAATCTACATGATATAAGAGCAAAATGAACTTATTTTGAAGTTCTAATTTCATATTTTTTTTGCAAACCCTAAAATAATAAAAATATGCTAAGTAGGAAGAGAACCAGATCAGACAAAGAGAAGGCAGATCAGAGGAAAAGAGAAAGCAACTGATCTCCTTCTTCCGCCGCATAGGAAGCTTTCCGACCGTGCCGCATCGCACACAGATCTATCCTTAGATCTTCTTCTCCAGTCGTGCACAGAGCCACGCACAGGAAGCTTTCTAACCGCACCTTGTTGCGCGTAGATCTAGACCTCTTCTGCTGTGCCGCGCCACACTTCGTACAAATCTAGTCTGTTTGAGACGAGCCACCGCTGAACCGAGCCACTCTCTGAACCAAGTTCGAGCCATTTTTTGAGGCGAGCCCGAACCGTTTTTGAGTCAACACGAGCCGTTTTGAGCTAAACCGAGCCGTTTTGAGAAAGGTCAAGCTGTTTTGAGCTGAGCCAAGTTGTTTTGAGCCCAGCATAACCATTTTGAGCCGAGCCAAGCCAAGCTACTGCCTGATAGATCTAATTTCAATTTGGCATCCTTTGGCATTGATAAATTGCAGGATGACTATTTAGAATTCAGTCTGCAAGTTGGACATGTGTTATATCTCTGTACCAACTTGAGAAGAAGTGTTGACTATCATATTTTATTATTTACTTATTTTAATTTATTATTTGATATTATATAATTATAATTATATGAGAATAATAATCTCATATAATTAGAACATGTATTAGAATAAGAATTTTACTATCTGTAGGTTAAAAATTTTATAAATATTTTAAGTATAATAATATAAAGAGTGAGAAATAAAAAATTTTTTTTTTCCAAAAATTAACAGCAATATTGTCGAATCCTAAGTAGAATGACTTTACCGAGAAAAAACTGCCAAAACCCAACTTACAAGCCAATTCCCTCATAATGACCACCAAAATGAAGTAAATACTGAAG